CATCCTTTGACAGCTCTTTGGTCTTGCCCATGGTGGTGGGAGAGGTTGGAATGGAAGATACAGATTGTGGACAGGTGTCTTATACACCTAACGAGCTGACATTAGGAGTAACTTCTTAAAGTGACAGGACTAATCTGTGTTCCACATGGGCATATAACCAATCTGTGGGAGCCAGAATTCTTGCTGATTGGTAGGGGATCAAATACTTATTTCACTCACTGAAATGCAAATCTCTAACCTTTATATAATGCATTTTTTTTCTGGATTTGTTTGGTTGGTATTCTGCCTCTATCCGTTAAAATTAACCTACCATAAAAATTACAGACCCTTCATTTCTTTGCAAGTGGGCAAACTTACAAAATCAGCAGGGGATCAAATAATTATTTTCCCCACTGTAGCTTAGTTCTGTTAGTTATGCATGTTAATATGCGAAGGAAGCTATGCTAGTTTAATAATTAGAGAAGTTTGAACTCACATATAGGTACGGTAAGATAGGTTAGTTCAGTTAGTTTCTTGCATTAGTAAGTGGAAGAAGTTATTCTAATCTAAGTTAGAGACATTTATGAAGCCACATACAGGTAAGTTAGTTAGGTTTGTTCATTGAAGCTTTGCTAGTTTAGGGAAGCTATGTTCTGTAATCTGTAAGCAAAGGCAAAACATTACAAAAACACGTTATTTGTGTTAGCTATGTTAGTAACTTAAGTTGTGTTAATTTAGTAGGTCACCTTAGTTGATTACATTATTACACAAGTTAAGGAAGTTAACTTGTTAGTTAAGGTAGTTAGAGACATTTATGAAGCCACATATAGGTAAGTTAGTTAGGTTTGTTCAGTGAAGCTTTGCTAGTTTAAGGAAGCTATGTTCTGTAATCTGTAAGCAAAGGCAAAACATTACAAAAACACGTTATTTGTGTTAGCTATGTTAGTAACTTAAGTTGTGTTAATTTAGTTGGTCACCTTAGTTGATTACATTATTACATAAGCTAAGGAAGTTAACTTGTTAGTTAAGGTAGTTACATAAGTCAAGTATTTTAGGTAAGTAAATGGAAGTCATATGGAATGTATTTCCCTTTCTCTCTCTTTCAGTGATTCAGGGCAGGTGAAGCTGCACCCCAGTCTTTTCTTGTTGTTGTTGGTTTTGGGTCGTCTCTACCCATCTCCCATGGATGGTTCATCATCAGGTATGAATAGACATTTAGATCACCTTTAAGTGCAATGCTTACCAAGAGATGAGCTGCACTGAATGTTTTAGCTCAAAAATAAACTTTGGATTTGATTCAGCTGACTATTTCTTAGCCCTCTAGTCTAACAAGCCACTTCCTTTGCATGTCTCGCTATCCGTCAACTCAGTGCGTCCATTCCTGCAATAGATTTTTTCCACTGCCTCCACAGTTTTTCTTCTCTTACAATCTGTAATGCTTGAGACGTGCAGCTACTGTTGCTGTTCCCGTTCACACATTTGTTTCATTGTTTAGACAGAGTAGGAAAAATATTTTCGGAACACGTTCTACAAGTACCTGTAGTACCTGTAGAGGCATCCAAACCTAGACGTGTCTTTTACACACACACAAACACACAGTGAGGGATAGGTCACGGTCGTGATCCCAGAGCCAGGAGTAATCCTTTCTCCTCCCGTTTGTGTGTCACAGAACACGGTGTTCCTCCAGCTGGGGAGAAATAGATCTATTCAGATGAAAGAAACAATAGCAGGATGGTGTTTGTCTTGGATCAAAATAAGGAGAAGTCTTGCTCCCACTGCTGCTTCTGATAACACAGCTCCTGACTTTGCATGCTACACGCATGACTGACATTATTTGAAATCTCATTGTATGTTGAATACATTCTGCAATTTCATCAGTTTTCAGGTAAAGCAATAAAATAACATGTAGGCTCTGTTGCAAAACCTCGTGAGCTGCCTTCATAGGCACATTCTCAAACATAAATGCAAACATAAAAAGTAGGCCCACACAATCTAATAATGACAAAAAAATGCAAGATAAAAAGCCACTGCTTTACTGAAAGGCAAAAAAGTGCAAATGTTTGCCTTTTTCAGGCCTCTTTTTGCATTTATGATTGTCTGGATTTTTTTTTTCAGACTACACACCTCATGTCAGACTTTTTTGAAGGTACAGTGAGTCTTTGGTTACTTTTCTAAAAAGTAGGCAGCTTGTGTCTTTCATTTTCCTTCCAAGATGGCCGACGAGTCAAAAAGATTGTCGTTTATAAATGGTTACAATTCCTTCAATAACAACATTTATTAAATAGTTCAAAGTCATAAAAATGGATGTTTGTACCTAATTTGTGTATTATGAAAATTAGAGTATTTTGTTGTTAGCTTAGCAACATGCTAATGCGATAATCTCTTTAAAACAATTGTGATTCATTTACCATTAGTTACTGCCTATGTACAGTGGTCCAATTATGCCTAGTTCACACTACAAGATTTTAAGCCCGATTTAATCCCGATTTGCAAATTAACGAGCTCGCCGACAGGTTGGGCTGTGATCGGGGGGAAATCAGCGGGTGATCGGTGCTCGGCAATCTTTATGTGTGAACTACACAATGACGCATCAAAGAGGTTCGCTGACGCGTCGCCGACACCTCACCGATGGCAAACAAATATCTAGCATGCCAAATATCTGGACCGGTCGGCCGACTCGACATCACGTGGTGTCAGGTGTCGTGACGAGCTACAGCCAATGAGAGAGTAAGGCATGGGTTGAGGTCACCGAAAACAACAGCAGCGACATAGCTTAAAGAATAGTTTGGACACAATAAATGGAGCAAAATTTTTCATCGAGCAAACAGCTTGCAGCGCTAATTTCTTCCCGACATCCATTTTCAAATAAACAACTCCTGTTTCATGTGTTGTTTCGCGTCATTCCCATTCCAATTCTCGCATGTGTTTTCGTGACAAACGTGGTTTGTAGAGTCGTTGGGTGACCGAGTTGTTGTCAGCTTGTGTAGTGTGTAATCCCCGGTTGCGGATCATTTACATAGTCACGTAGTGTGAACACCACAACGACATAAAAACAGACAATCAAGTCAATGTAGTCTGAACAGCACGGCGATCTGCCGACATTTAAATTCGTGTAGTGTGAACTTAGCCTAAGGATGCCTTATAAGGCACCTGCCTATGTAGACAGTAGATGGCAAGGCTACTGTGGAACGAAGGATTGTTTTTTTTTTTTTTATAAATGACCTTCTATGTAGACAAACTCTGAGCACATTAACTTGTGGTCAACCATGTTTACATATCAACACCTATTTAATATTCAGCAGCTTGGTGAAGTTGTTGTTACTCTAATTCACATGCAAAGTGTTTGCTGTATCATAACACAGGTTTATTTCAGTACTTCCTGTCAAAAATGTTGAAACCAAGTGTGAATTCATGATATATCTTCACCATCAGCTGTTAAGATCGATGTGATAGCGAAGTTGTTGCAAGTTTAGGCTTGATATTAACTGTTTATGATGAAGAACATCTAATGGAAGAGAACTTCTGTTGAAACCGATGGTCCTGAGAGTGACCCACTTCAGGGGTAGTGGGGTAATAAATGTGATGGGACTTGCCTGGATATTGCTGAACTGCAGAGCTGGTGCAAACACACCCACATTGCTATGATCAGATGATTTCTTAACTGCTGTTTTCTCACAGCTGACATTTTTGCTGTATGTTTATTTTGTTATTGAGAGGAAAGCATTGAGCACATCTTTACATATTCATCTAAATGGCGCTCTCATTAGTGTGGAGGTTCGGTATTTTCATTCAGGGCCGTCCTTAGGGGGGTGCAATTGGTGCGGTCGCACCGGGCCCCGTGCTTGAGGGGGCCCCGTGGCGAACGCCCCCCCTCCCCGGAACGCAATCGCGAACGGACCAAGGGGGAAACAACCCAACACCCCCATGGAACGCATGGAACCCCATGGAACTCCCTACCTCGCACTGGGCCCTGCGTCAGCTAAGGATGGCCCTGTGTTCATTAAAAATATAGCACTGCGAAGGAATTTCACACTTTTAATTCATTAGCTAAAAAAAAAATAATAAAAAATTCGCATTTTGAAAGCCCTGGATCATTGTTTGGGTGTCAGGGCCTGTATAGTATCATAAGTGTGTTATGAGCCCATGTGTGTGCTACAGACATCTGGAGTGGAGCAGAGGTGTGGAGGGGCTGGAGAAAGGACCAGTTTAAGGCCTCGGGTCTGGAACACAGATAACACAGAACAGAGAGAAACCGATCAAGCTCACGACCCTCATGCACTCTGAATGATCAGTGCCACCATAAAAATCAGACTCAAACCGTTTGGCCACGTATCAGCGAACGTCTCAGCCCTGCTCAAACAAACGCAAGTCCACCTGATCACACCCCTCTTCAGTTAAACCATGTAATATTATGGATGGATTTTCCTAATAGTCAAGGAATGACAGGAGAGTCAGACCTTCGGATTAATAGAAGGATCCAAGTCAACAGAATCCAGCCTTTCTTGGTACAGGGATGCAAGGGTTAAGAGACTGGAGGATTTGGGGTCTGCCTGGTTCTTGTCAGTGGAGGTATGCAGGCCCATTCACCCAAATGAAGCCCACATGTAGAAGATGTTAAATATAGCTTGGTTTTGGCTTCCACAGCCCCCTCCTCTCCCCTAGGTGTGTAATTGTGTGTGTCTGGGTGTCCGGTGTTGATCAGGCCCCTCTTTACAACAACACAAGTTCTCAGCAATACACTCAAATCTGTGTAGTTAATTATTGCGCTGGTTGAAATACGAGACAACCCATGATTAGACTGTGATTCTGTTCCACAATCAGCGTTAAATTTTTCTTTCAGAGTTGTTTTCATTAGATTAGGCCCACGGTGTTGTCTGCAATGTTATAAATCCTATAACAAAGGATTTATATTAAAGATCTGATTTATTTGCTGGTCACACTGTGAATTTGTATTGTGTGCCTAAGCCTCGAAAGCCTCGTCTTCGTGTCAGAGTAGATCTGTTAAGCTCCACTCTGTGAAATATTTGAGAAATAAGGCTTTGTTGGGCTTTTGTACAAGCTCTTTTATGTTATCCAGACTATAAGAAAACATGAGTGCATTTGAATTCGGCTGAATTTTGCACTTGTGAAAATCCGTTTGTTAACAATATCACATGCTAAGCAAACATGGGTTTACACTGTGCATAAGAGCCGTGACACAAAACCCTGCTGCTAAACCCAGGTCATGACAGATTTAGGTGGTCATGCTGGTTTTTGTAACATGATAGGGATTTTTTTATTTTTTTTTATTAATTGTCGGGCTAAAATTATTTTTGCCACTTGCCCTTGGCGTTAGGATAATGTCAACTGAAAAGTGGTGTTATTTTAGGATATATACATTTTTTTTTAAGTTTTATACATTTTGTGTTTTTTATTTGTTATTAGTGTTTTTATATTTTTATTTCAAGTGAAACTTTAATTTAATTCATTTTAATTATTATTTTTTTTTTAGCTTTATTTCAATTGGCAAAAATGGTGTTTAATAGCTTTTATTTTAGTTTCTCCAAACTTTTAGTCCAGATAAACAGGATGTTTAAAGAGGAAAACTCTTGGGATTTTATCCCAAGAATCCATATTTCTTTGAGCTTCTACTTTCTGGAAACCAGGTTGGCAGCCAAAAAAACTTGACATATCCCATTTCTAGTGCTTCTTTTTGTCCTCCTTTCAAAACCTTTTATTGATTTTTTTTTTGCATTGCATATAATGAAAAATCCATTTTGAAAAAGACAAGTGTGACTAGCTAGCATGATGGTAATCTTATTACCATGCTGTAGCTGGCATGTCTGGTCTTGAGGAAATGCTAAACAAGGGTTGGGGTCTCCATCAGTGTTGAGGGCATGCATAAGTGTGTCAAATACCCTTGACCAAAATTCTGTCAGCCACAAACACGTCCAGAACATATGTAAGTGGTTGGCTGGAAATTGCTTACATCTATGGTAGATTATGCCTGGTACATATGGATGAGGAGTGTACCAGATCTAGAATGTCACACCACTGGTCATCCAAGATGGAAATTCCTAGGTTGCATTCCCAAGCGATGGTGGGAGCAGTTGGGGGTTCAGTGCCTTGCTTAAGGGTCTCACCTTAAGGGTCATGGTATTGAGGGTGGAAGAGAGCACTGGTCATTCACTCCCCCCACCTACAATCCCTGCCAGTACTGAGACTCAAACCCACGATATTTGGGTTACAAGTCCAACTCTCTAACCATTAGGCCATGACTCCCCTTCGGAGGAACTTATTAGGTTAGAAATAAGTTATTTTATGCTGTTGAGGTGACTGGGTAAATTGTATTTAGTAGACGGGGCTGAAAAAGATGAGAACCTCATCCTAGTACTGATCAAGGCCATTCATTTTGGTTGAGATCATTAATTGGTGGAATGCAGGATCAAAACTGAATGTGGGCGAATGCCAGAGTGGTCACACAATTGGTTCAGCCAATCGCGAGCTGTTTGTGATGCTCAAAAGAACTAAGCACTGTTTTGGATATCATCACAGAGCCACAATGTTTACAGTTTATGGTGGAATCGACCTACAAATGGCATAATTATAGTTGTTTGGCTTATGATTCACAGGAAATGAATCCCTGTTTGTAAAGCCAACACTTTCCACACTAGAACTGAAGTTGGTAATGGCCCTCAGCCTCAGTTTAATTTTTTTTAAATTCAAATTAGACCAATCTGCATTTATGTTATGAGCAGTCTTAAAGAAAAAACAATAGAGGTGACTGTCTTGTAAGACTAGTCATAGACGTCACCTGGTCAGTCTCAGGCAGAGAAAGATCTTCTCACAGGACCTCAAATGGGTTGCAAAAAGAAACTGATGGCTGAGGCCTCACTATTAATTCTGGCAGTCCGATAATTCAGATGTTACTGCTTTGAGTATGAGACACGAGGTCAGTGACTTTAGCTAACAGCTTAGAATTTCTGTCAGTCAGAGAAGCACAATGTGTTTCCACAGTGCAAGCATGCATTTATATTGGCATTGGGCTCCTAGAAGCATTCTTTTGGATGTTTAAAAATCATTAATTCAAATTAGACCAATCTGCATTTATGTTATGAGCAGTCTTAAAGAAAAAACAATAGAGGTGAATGTCTTGTAAGACTAGTCATAGACGTCACCTGGTCAGTCTCAGGCAGAGAAAGATCTTCTCACAGGACCTCAAATGGGTTGCAAAAAGAAACTGATGGCTGAGGCCTCACTATTAATTCTG